TAATAAAAATATAACACTAATTATTGATATCAACAATGTCATGTTATTGGCCAATGTTGGTTATCTTTTTAACATGTATATATATATATATATATATATATATATATATATATATATATATATATCAAATAAATAAATCTAGTATTAATAGCTGATCTTTACTGGCATCCCTCTGCCATTAGTGGATGCGTTTTAGGAGAGGGAGAAAGTGGAGGGTAACAAAACGGTGTTTGTTTGGGCATATGCTTGTGACACTGATGCAGTGTAGGATTATGGGGTCTTTAAAGCAGAAAAGCCATGTATGCACTATGGTCTTTTTTTCTGGCTGTCAAAAGGGTACGTAATACGAGTGATAAGAGACACAATCTGCAAATGTCACATCAACCTTTATAAATGGAAGGTATTTTCATTAGAAAGGTGTTTGTAACACCCAAAGGTGTTTCACAAATGTAGAGAATCACACATTTTGGTTGGACTGACTCAGTCCTGTATAACAACTATAATAATAACAATAATTGTAAATAATGGTTGCATTTGAAAGGCAGGGCCTTTCTTTCTTACATAACCATTCAGTGTACTTCTCATGTTTGTGTGGTGATGGAATTTGTAATAGAAAAATGGGGTTCATCTTCATTTCTTAATGATTTTTTAAAGATTACGGTGATGAAGAACAATCAACAATGAAGCTAAACCCAGAGCCATTATTTGAAATTGATTATTAAAAAAAAAAAAAAAAAAAAACAGGTACAAGCTGACAGACTTATATTTAAGTCAGTTTGTTTATCGATTTCATTCAATAAGTTGTTGGTCGGCTTTAACCAATCTCCCTGAAGTGTGTTGACCAAGTACATCTGCCTGCATCTTTGCCATTGGGAGATGCTTCCAGGTATATATATTGATTTACATATATATTTACGAGTGAGGAAGGAATGGGTGAATATACATGTATGCCTTGGTCTGCAATAACAGGTGTATGGATTGTTGTATGCATCCAACTTCTTTTGTCCCTCTGAAGTTTTGAAATTTCTTGGTGCTGCTTACATCTAGTATGTAACCAGAGCACTCCTTTTTGTACGAGGCCCCAGAACTGGCTTGGCGAGAAATATGGTAATCAGAAGAGCAGNTGACAGTACTTAAAGCTTTTGTTTTTCAAAGACACTTGACATCCAGTTGGATTGAATTTCACTGTCTTGGTTTGCTAAGTAGATGGAGATATAATCCATCAGATTTGAAGAATCCAGCAAAATTTGGTTTCAGATTATTGTTGTCCTTTTTGGCAAAAAAAAGAGAAGCCAAAACAAATTGTCCGTTTGCTTATTTCAATTCATATTTTAAAAAAAATGTATGCATTAATTTGTTTAAGCTATTGCATAGATTCACATTTAAATAAGCAGAATGTTCTATACAATATTTTTCAAGCTTTCAAATACTCCTCTTTGATGCATTTTAAATGAAAATACCTTTAAGACTGGAGCAGAAAGGGACACTTTACCTTTGACATTTCTGGTGGACACATTATAGATTTCCTTCAGTAGCAGAGACTTGCTAGGGCAGTGCTGCCGCACACCAGACACATCATACAGCCTCTAAGTTCACTCACTCTATCTCAAACCCATACACACACAAAAGAGCTCTTTTCCTTTCTCTGTTAGTGCCGCTGCGACACAAAGCTAGAATCAACTGACAGCTTCATTCATCCAGGACACTAAATATTTGCATGAAGCAAATTGCTAGATTGGAATCTAGCTTTTCTGTTTGGATACCATTATAAATGTTGTGACAATAAATAGTTAAATATAAAAGTAGAGTGTCCTAAAAGAGATAGTTGACTACCATAAAAAGTGTTTAATTATCTATGTTAATTAACTCAACTTTATTGATCTCACATTGGAGAAATTTACCTCCGCATTTATCCCATCCCCTTGGGGAGCAGTGGGCTGCCATTGTGTGGCGACCAGGGAGCAGTGTGGGATTAAGGGTCTTGCTTAGGGACTCAGAGTGGCAGTCTGTGGGAATGAGTCTCGAACTCAGAACCTCAGGAGTCCAAGCTCTATGCCCTAACTACTAGGCCGCCACTCCCCCCAACATTTATGGAAATGTCTATAGAACTAAAAAGACAATTAGTTACTGGTCGACTATAAAGACCATTATTTTCCAGGCAGGAGCTGAAATAAAACACAGGAAATCTACTAATGTAAGCAACTTACAGTCATTACAAGTGACATCAAGCTATCGTTAAATCTAGTACAAGACCTAAACGTTGACATTGTTCACTGTGACATTATTGCTGAAATTATTCGGCTTTCTCCTGTGCTGAAATTACAGCCTCTAGCAGCTTGGCAGTGCAATAACAAAGCTTTGAGCTAGACATGTTATTGTCAGTCTGAAAAAGAGCAAGCACTCTATAACAAGTGTGCCGTGCTGTTTGGCACCTGGTACACAATAATGCAGGAATATATATATATATATTTTTTTTTATCTTGAAAGCTTTTACGAGTGCTGCAGTTGGTTAAAGATAAGTTGAAGAGATTCACGATGAATTTAAAACATAAAGGAGTGAAATGCGAAAAAACTTCCAAAATGTTATGTTCTCTTTATATTTCGCTGCAGTTCATTTACAACAATCAAGATATATAGTCCCTGTTATTTTTCAGTTATATTTAGGACTTTTGATACCCATTTAAGATACAATTAGAAAGAGCTTTACTTAAATTCTATTAAAAATTATAGTTTTTTCCCCCTGTAACTAAGAAAACAGAAAATGAGACAAAGCTCCCCCTGTGCTGTTAAATAAAAACTTTATGAAGTTGTTCACACATACCGACGCATACACTGTGCAGCAGCTGCTGTCTGTAGAGCTGCGGCTCATTACCATGAGACCTGAGGCTTCCAGCAGAGCCTGGGTTTTCCCCAACACAGAAATACAGCTCTGTCTCTAAAGGAGTCGGCTGCTTTTGCACAGATCCACTCCTACAGGATCAGGATTTTGCAAAGGGAATTCTCTCTACTTCTGCTTTAGGGTTCATATTCTGGTCTTTTATTGTAAAATTCAAACAATAACTAACTTTAATTTTTCAACGTTCTTATCTTCTTTCTAAAAGATAAAAAAAAAAAAACATAGCAATTCATTGAAGATATTTCCAAAGAGCTCTAGTTTTGTATAGGACCAAGACTTTTTTCCCCTGCCTCTTCACCTTGGCTCGGCAGGGGACAACCTTGGACTCTGTCGTAGGATTAGAGGACGGGATAAACAGGCTCATCACGCTGGGGTGGGAGTGTTTAAGTGAGGGCTTGAATCACAATGTGGTGCTTCTTAAATGTTGGCCTAAGTTCTGTGTGATTGTTCTGGGCTGGTTGTGGGTTATCAGGATTTGGATGGGGGTCAGGCGGATAAATTCAATTCAGTTCATTTATATAGCGCCAATTCACAACACATGTCATCTCAAGGCACTTTACAATTCAACCAGATCATACAATAAAAATGATAAAAAGTTTTCCATCTAAGGAAAACCAGCTGACTGCATCTACTCATTGACTCGAAGGCAATGCCTTACACCAAACATGCTTGTAACGACAGTGGAGAGGAAATACTCCCTTTTAACAGGAATAAACCTCCAGCAGAACCAGGCTCAGTGTCAGTGGCCATCTGCCGAGGCCGACTGGGGTTCAAGGAGGCAGAAGCAGAGATACAAAAAGAAGCAGAGATACAAAAGGCAACTGTCAACCAGCTCCACAGGCAGCCCCATCCAGGGAAACACACAGCCAGGCAGACAAACTCCAAGCCAGCTCCCATGTCAGAGGATAAAGAGAGCACATCCAGCCAGTCACAGTCAGAGAAACAGGACTACACTGAAAAAAAGCCAATCTCCAATGAATGGACTATTGGATAAATGGAAGGTTGGTGAGAAGAACAAGGAAGGGTTGGACAGATGGATAGATCATCAGATCAAAGATGAATGAAAAGCGTGATAGATGAAAATGTCCAAAGTTTAGAATCACATAATAGGAAATTTAATCTAGAGATAACAATATTCTCAACATTCTCCACCACTTTTAAAACATCTGGAATTTTTTTGAAATTTCCTCTAAAGGAACCCAGTTGCTTATCTCTTCCATTCCTCGTATTCCGCACATCTAATTAGTTTTGCAAAGAAAAACAGATTTCCTGGTGCACAAACAGGCGTTAACTATTGCTTCGCCTAAGGCAGATGGATAAATAGCTGAGAGGAGATCAGGCAAACAAGCTCCAGAGAGCGAGGGACAAGCAGATGGAATCATCTTCCCACACGGAAGGAGAAGAGCTCTGATGAAGAGGAAAAACTGCGATGGCAGAAGGTGAACCGTGTTGTCATGACACTCTTAAGACTGATCACACCTGACAAGCACGGCTCTATGGAGATGTAATGCAACAGCAGAATTAAGGAAACAGGTGTGCAAACAAACCGGCATGTCAGGAAGACATCTGCTGTCGCTTTTGTTGGGAAGACGCAGAGACAAAGAGCAAGTTTGGAAATCAAATAAAAACTATGATGAACTGAAGTATTTGTGAGCGCTGAGAAGTTTAGGAAACTGCCAGATGTAGCCAAACCTTGAATCTCTACATTACCACCCTAACTCCTCCCTTCAACTCTGCTTTCCATTCTCCCTCCCCCTTTCACTTAATCTCTCCCTCTCTCTCCCTCTCTCTCTCTCACCCACCTTCATCCACACTCAGACACACACAACAGAAACAGAGGAGAAAGCAAGAGAGTGGAACTGCGGCGGCATGATGGGGATATTCTGTCTGCGTGGGATCCGTCACTGAGGTGTCCGGAGTTCTGCTACAGCGTGCGCAGCTCTATGTGTGAGTGTGTGCGTGTGTGTGTGTGTGTGAGAGGGGGTGAGTGTGAGTGTGCATGCATACAGGCGTGATTGAGTGAAAGCAATTGACACCGTGAGAGGGGGGGTGGGGGGTGGGGGGGAGTGTTGACTCAGTCCGGACGCCACAGGATCAGAGGACGCGGATGTGGGACAACTACTCCCAACAGCTGCAGCCGCTGCTCTGCATGCCTTCACGCCCTCTCAACTTCTGCCATGGAAAAGCCTCTGCTTCCAGCTCGTCTCTAATCCTCTGAAGGGAAACGGGCATGCATCAGCGCAAGTGGGGATCTAGGCTATCACATCTTTTACGTCAGCATCTCACAGTCTGAGGTGAGTTGCTGCTCTTTGGTCTCATCTGCTCTCATGTTTCATCACTCATTCCTACAAACGCAAGAAAGGAAAGTCTGCTCAAGCAACATCTGGATGGTGGAGAAATCCAAGGAAATCGAAAAGCTGGGAGGGAGGAAGTCTCGAATAGGTACCAAGGAATATATTTACAGAAGATTTCCTCTTAAAGTCATCTGATAAAAGAAAAAACAACCAATATGTGTGCAGAAGAGAGAAGTACATCTTAGATTTCAAGCTAGGGTTAATTTTGAAAAGACGCTTAGGGAAATGTATTTAATTCGTAGAATTTTCAAAAAAATACTTGAGGTCAGCCTACTTGTATCGAAGTAGATTTTTAATCATATTGTGAACTTGACTGAATCAGCTGAACAGATAAAAACAGGAATTCCTAAATAAACTGCCAAACCAGCAAAACATATACCTTATACTGTAAATGAAGGCCACAGTTTTGTGCAGCGAACAAAAAAGGTTATGAGAGCTGCATTTAAAATAGAATACAGGCACCTTCCTATGGATCAGAAATAGGTGGGGTTTGCAGATGTGTGGCGAGGGATGATGAAGAGAAAAGCTTCACGTGTCCATTGTCCTTCAATTGCCACACAACAAAACCAGCAAGAGCCACAATCATCCTCTCAACTCTCCTCCTATCTGTCGCCTTGTCTCTCTTTCAAACATGGCTCTCATCATTACTCTGATAGCGTCAATAACCCTCTGCTCTATTTCACATTCAAAAAACGTAAGACTTTTTTTTTTAAAAAGGTGGAAGGCAAATGAGATGTGCACCAATATTTTGTGCCTGAGAAACTGAGCAGGAAAGGCTACAGATCCTTGTGCTACTGGTTCAGCTTCACACTCAGCACAGATTACTGACAGACCTTTACAATGAGAGTTAAACCTGTCCTCAAATATAAAGTAGGTAAAAAAAAATAGAAACGAAAATAGGAAACATGACCATGGCTGAAAGAAATTCAAGATTAGGTGTTAAAGTCACAACATCTATGAGCTTGGAAAGGTTTGCATAACCAATGTCTGAACAGTGAACAGTGGTGAACTTTCCTCGGAACAACTCCCATAATTACTTCTAGAGTGCATCAATGATTCCTTCAGGAGGAAACATAGAACATCTTGACACAGCAGACTTCCCTCGCCTTAGTTACAGTCAGTGTTCATGGTTCAGCAATAAAAATGAAACTGGCCAAAAATTTAACAAAAATCATCAGGATAATTTCCGAATTTATTAATTTGTTTTAATATGACAAAAGTGGAACTTTTTGGAAAGTGTGCCCCACATATTGGATGTAAAATAAACAGAATACCAGAAACAATATACAGACAGTGAAGCTTGGTGGTGGTAGTGCCATGCTATGGGGCTGGGGCTGATCTGGAGTTCAAGGACAGTTGGGTTACATTGCAGTATTGTTACACTGCATTCACCAGTGAATGCCTGACCTTTAACAACCCATTCTTGCACGGAGGCCAAACAAATATTATGGGTTAAAGTTCCAGTTTCGCTATGTAAAAGACTTGCTGTAAGCTAATTCACCCAATGCAACAAATTCCTTTAGAGTTTTATAATTTATTTCCCCACAAAACCTGATTTGAAAAGAGAAATCAACGTTTTATAACAAGTTTGCTTTCTTTTGCTCTTTTTTTTTTTTTATAAATAACGTAGATAAATTTGGCTGAGGATTTAAAATCCAGAATAAAATAATAAAAAAAAAATAAAAGCTAAATCAGAAGAAATCTGCAAATAGGCAAAGACTTTTTCACACATCTGTAAGAAGAGCTTTTAAAATCCGCCTGGGAAAACTGTCCAAATGAAGGTTGAAGTGAAGCTTCACCTCCCATGGCCTCATCCTCGCCGGGACGGATACTCATTCATCCAGAAAACAAATTACTGCCCTATGAAAGAATGACTGCTTCTGGAACAAGCCAGATGTTGCCTTTCATGTGCTAATAGGATTATTAATTAAGAGTCAGTTTTTTTTTTTATCCAAGGGAGGACCACGCAGCTCAGGTGAAACGTTCATATGGGCTGCCGAGGAGGGAGTGTGTGTTTGTGTGGATTTTTGTGACTGATGTCGTACATATTCACGCCTGATCTCACCAGTGTGTTAGTGTGAGCTGAGAGTGTAAAGCATGTGTTTCGCTCTGCTTCGTGGTAGGGGCCCAACCAGCTGGGTCTACAAATTGCCCCGAGGCAGATGAGGAGTATCCGTGGAATTTACATCTTTAAATTAGACGACATTTATTCAAGTTTGGATAAGTCAAAAAATATATTTTTAAAGACAAAGTAAGACCAACACACCTGACCAAAAATAATGAACCTTAACTGCTTTCTAAGATGAGAAGTAATATCCATAAATGTGAATAGGTATTTTGCCTCTAGCCTGCAAATCCAGTGTTTCAGAGCAACTGAAAGTATTTTCAAAGTCGCTTAATCTCTGTTTTACTCTCACATTGTGTTAAATAAGTATATTTACCCAAAGTTTGATGTGGCCAACATATTTGTTAAATGTCTGCTAGGTTTAGACGGGATGACTGTGCTAAACATAAAATGAGGTTTAGGAAAAAAGATAAGGTTTTAAAAACGCATCATTTTTTTCCTTATGTTTACAATACATTGAAAGAGATGTCAGAGTGATGGCAATTTTCTCTAACTGTGTTAGGCAAGAATACCTAAAGAGGTACCATATGTCCCATTTGCACTACCCTTCTTAAACCATGCCGACAGTGGGCACAGTAACCGAGATAACTGTTGAGTGTATACGGAACACAACTGAACCGGACCATGCCAGACACATCTGAACCGTGCTAAATCTACAACTAGTTCAACAGTAGGGCAGCTGTGGCTCGGTTCTTCTGATAACAAAGAACATATTTTATTAGATTCAACTTTATTGTCATTACACAGGTAGAGGTATAAGGCCATGAAATGCAGCTTAGGTCTAACCAGAAGTGCAATAGCAGCAAGTGCAGGATAAATAATGGTTGCATAAATACAGGACATGGGTTTCTACTGAATAAATATAGAGATGAATACCATTATAAACAGAATTTTACTAATAGATTTGTCCTAAGAATATAATATATAGAGCAGATCGTATCCTCTCTTTACAGTCAGGTCCCAGTATTTGCGGTAATACACATAAGTTGCTTGCCAACTGCCATAAAACAAGAGAAGAACTGTAAAAAACAATCGAAATCTTCTCAACACTACACTTTATAAAATGGTTTCAAAAGAGCATGCTGCGACGCCGAGAATGCCTTATTCGCCTGAATCCCGAAAACAACGAAATATCACAATCATAACCACACATAACTTCTTGAATGTTATGGACACCATCTTTTTGATTTGCTTGACTCTCTCCTTCAATCCTAGAGAGCTGTAGTACAGTAGATCATCACTAGGAGGCGAGGAACCATGCTAGCGTGATGTGTAAACGATCGTAAGAACCAAGCTCGGCACGTTGACTGATCCAAGCTCAGTCCAAACTGGGTACGGATCGGTTTCAGAGGGTAGTGTAAATGGGGCAATAATCTGTGCAACAAGCTTAATTTAGTGGATGTCTGTACTTTTGCATTATTTAGTTTGTGCATTGAACTCAACGTAACAGTTAACTAGTTAGAAACGCTTATTATAACAGCAATCATTAATACAATTATTTAGCAGCAGTGAAGCTTACTTATTCTGATAGACTTCAAGACAGGTTATAGTTTACATTATTTTGTAAAGAGGTCAAAGACTCCTTTCACCACAAATGCTAGGATTGCTTAGCACAACATAATGCACATCTGTATTGCAATGGAGGCATATATGGTGTGTTAAGAGAGAAGAATTAAATATTTTGGCTTAAATTGGAAAAGCCATTACAATCATAAGGAAAGAAAAATGACAGGATGAAATGGAGGAAGGAAAGGATATGGTGTTGGGGAGCAGGGAACCGGTAGCAACTTTTAAATAAATTTATAAATCAATGACCTGAATATTAAACTACAGTATATTTGATAAAAGAAGCACGTTTGTCAAATTTTCTGTGCTGCTGCATGTTTTGGGAATGAAGTGGACGGTTTTATTAACAGCTCAGAGGCTATTCTTTGACACAAGCTATTGATCCCAGCAGGTGAAGAAAAGAGTGCAGGGTCAATATCTTTGGAGCCAACATGTTAATCATTAAGCAAAGACGTGTGTTTGATCTATAGGCAAAACTACAAAAATCTCATACATCTAAGATTACATAACCTTGTCACACAGATGCAATTAAAATGACTTCAGCGTTGCCCTTTTGATCATCTAAACTAGGGCTGGAACACTTCATCGGAAAGATCGATTAATTAAATAATAGTCAACTAATGCAGTAATTAAGATTAATAGTTAAATGGAGTATAGAGACTCTTAAAGATGCCTTTAGCTGAAAGAGAAACCCACTTAGAGCAGTAAATATGTCAAA